ATTTGGGGGTTGTTTTTCATAGCCGTTTTCCAGCCAGACCTTTGATCTGCATCTTACTTGGAATGTTTTGACCATCAGGATCCTCTGTTCCGGTTCTTTGAGAGAGAGGTGAAAATGGGAGCTAAGCTGCTCCAGGATGTTCGCCAGGACCTGGCAGACGTGGTTCAAGTGTGTGAAGGGAAAAAGAAACAAACCAACTATTTGCGTACACTGATAAATGAGCTGGTGAAAGGTATGGCAGTTCTAACCAGCACCTCCAGGGCTCTCTTTGCTGCTTGCACTCTGTAAGAGGCTGCTGTGGTCAGCAGCTTAAAAAAAAAAAAAAAACAAAATTGGTAGAAAAATGTGGATAGACTTTGTCACTTGACACAAGTAATACTTAAATTTGAGCATAAAATTGATTTGATATGAGATTACATTGAGGTTGATAATAGCCTAATATTTAGGCTATAATAATAATAGTCCATCTTTAACATATTAGGCTTTTTTGTACAATTTATATTAGCAGCTTAATTTCTAGGCTAAAATCTTAATATGTTCTCTCAGTTTCTGACTTGTGACAGAACAAAGCTATTTATACCACCATATGAGCAGTATTGGTCCTATAAAATATTCAAGCTCTTGGAACTTCTATTTAAAGATTGTACATGTGGAATTTTCACAGTCATGCTGTATGTTGTAATACATGGTGATTTGAACAAAAGCATTTTCTGAAACACAGATACTCAGCCTCTTCAGCTTTTTCTAAAGAACTCAAATCTTCATGCAGAGCTGAAGATTAGGTCTTGCAGTAAAAAGCTGTGTGTAACTGCAGCTGCTCTTGAGGGGTATCTGTAAGTGGGTGGCATTTTAAATACAAAGCAGACCTAGAGGCCATTTGCTCTGTAATCTTTGAAAGTGTTTTCACTTACTGAAGGGCCTTTTAAAACAGAGGCTGATATTCCAGTCCAGGTCTTCAAAGTTTTAATATAGTGTGTAATTTCCACCTGTATATGAACAAAACTTGATTCTAATCACATCTTTGTAGGTATTTTGCCTCGTAGCTGGTCTCATTACACGGTGCCAGCTGGTATGACTGTTATCCAGTGGGTGTCTGACTTCAGTGAGCGCATTAAACAGCTCCAGAATATTTCCCAGGCAGCTGCATCTGGTGGAGCAAAAGAACTGAAGGTACTTTGTGCTGACTATCTCAGGGTTATTGGTGGAGCTGGGTAACTGCTTTCTGGAGTCTTCACATCAGGACTTCTAAATAGCCCCTCAGTCGATGAACTTGAGTCAGTGTTCTCTGAAATGTCTGTAAATACTGCTGAGCATCTCCTGATCACAGCATGATGAGGTTTAGCAGGGTAACTGTGCACAGAGATCAGAGGGAGCATTGGTATTGTGGAACAGTGGGAGACAAAGCCTTAGAGCAAAAAGCATCTTAACAATTACACTGTGTTCCAATAGTAGCAGGAACATTTTAATGTAAATAGATTGCTTAAGTATTTATAATAGTCATTAATTAATATTGCAGCTGAAATACTTTTTTCCCCATATATTTTTTCTCCTTAAATAGAACATCCATGTGTGCCTGGGTGGCCTGTTTGTGCCAGAGGCATATATTACTGCTACAAGACAATATGTTGCCCAGGCAAACAGTTGGTCCCTTGAAGAGCTCTGTCTTGAGGTCAATGTTACAACTACCCAGAACGCAGTCCTGGATGCCTGCAGCTTTGGAGTCACAGGTAAACTGAGCTGAAGGAAGGGAGCTTGCTCTGAAATGTTTTCAGAAGCTTCTTTATTAAATGGGCTATGTCAAATGAAAAAGATGCTATTGTTGAGAAAGTTAATACACACTTTCTGAAAGTATTTTCAAATTAGTTTGATATTAGTTATTAGGGAGGTACTTAAATTGCTAATAAATCTTGAGACCAGGATCAGTATATATTGAAGTGTTATTGCATAGTGTATCACTTACAACCTCTTCATTTTGCATTATGAAATACTTCTCATTTAGTGGACTTAGCCCTTAAATGACACAGAAGGAGACAGCCTTTGGATGTATGTAAGCTCTTAAAACTCTGAACTGCATTGCAATTTGCAGGCCTGAAGCTCCAGGGAGCTACGTGCAGTAACAACAAGCTGTCGCTTTCGAATGCTATTTCAACTGTCCTGCCCATTACACAGCTCCGCTGGATCAAGCAGACAAACGCTGATAAAAAAGCAAATGTTGTAAGTATTGATGGAAACATTTAGATATCCCTAGCAGTTCTTTCCTAAGGCTTTATGGATACTTGTACCGGGCACAAAAAATCAAATTAGTGTTCTCTAATTACTCTTCTTATCTGATTTCAGGGCTAGCAGCAAACAGACCTGATGCTGACTTTGTAGATGTCTTTCCTTTGTAGATAGATAAAAAGGAGAGACATCCAAAAATACTGTTCAGTGCTGTTCAAGTCAAAACTCAAATTTGTATCTATAGCAGCATCTGTGAATTTATTAAGTCTTGGGGTTTTTCCTCATATTTTGAGTACTGAGTTGTCTGAGACTGAATTCCCATCTCATTGGTATCATATAGTGTTAGAAAAACCTGTAACACTCTTCAGCTGTCTTACAGAACTCTGCTATATTCTTGTTTTTCCCCAGGTTACTTTACCAGTTTATCTGAACTTCACTCGTGCTGATCTGATTTTCACCGTTGACTTTGAAATTGCCACCAAGGAAGATCCCCGCAGCTTCTATGAGCGTGGTGTTGCAGTTCTCTGCACTGAGTGAACAAATCTATTTTCACTGGTTAATGCTGTAGTGTCAGTCTTCAATGTAGTGCTCACCTGTACTTTTGTAATCAGGGTAGGTTAGCAGATGGATTTGTGTCAAGTTGGCTGGAAAGGTGACGGTGCAGTGGGAAGCTGATAGGCCAGAGAGATTTCTTTGAAGGAAGATTGGATGAGGTTTTTAGAGGGTTATTGGTAGATGTGATATTTGATGGATTATGTTATATTAAATAAAATATATAACAAAACTTTTGACCATGTATTTCTGTTAATCTAATTCTTAGTGATGATTTCTGTCTGGAAAACCTATACCCATGATCTTTTGAGAGAATAACTATGAATTGCTCTTCAAGCTAACCTGCAGTAACAGGAACCTTGGAGTGCAAGTCTGTAGTGCAGTAATACACAAAACCTGACATCTACTGTGACAATTCAGGCCATTGCATTAATTAATTGCAATGGACTGGGTCTGACTTGAAGTAACCTGCTACAATGCATTGAGAAGCTGGAGCATCCTGAGCTAAACTTTCTTGTCCTATTGACCACAGAGCTTCCTCTTTCTCAAACTGCATTTGTGGAGAAATATGTCTCTAGATCTATGTCTCAGTAACCCAAGAGGAGGCTATTAAATGCTTACACAAGGAGTTACAGTATTATTTGAGACTCTCACATGTGACCAACCATTACTAAATCAGGAAAGCTGAGAGTTCCTGCTATTTGCTTGGGTTGCTGTAATGGTTTGGGCATTTGCTTGCTTTTTCTGATCCTGAATTTGTTGGCTCAGCATTTCTACCTTTCTGACCATCCTCTCAGCACAGCTGTCCTCTCTGACAGTGGCTGAAGTCAAGTGTTCAAAGGCATCTATGAAGAATGTGGGTACACAGCTTTCTAATCTGAAAACAGAAATCTTGGGAGCTCCTTCCTCCCCAGTTGCTCCTATGAAAGCAGTGACTTTGATCAGCTCCAGTATTTTTCTGTGATAAGGGTTCCATAGTACAAGCCTGGACTGGGAAGAAAAACTGCTATCTCAGCCTGCCTCACATACTTGTTTTGGTCAGAGCTTGCTGTTTACTGAAACAGAATTCTGCTGTCTGCCCTGTCCATACTGTTTTGCAAAGTTAATCCCTGAGATTAAACTGTCCTGGTTTTGTAACTTTACAAAGTGTGAATCCCAGACCAGTGAATCACGTGCAGTTTAATAGTCCTTGTGCAGTTCTTACCCAGTTGTGAGGAACAGAGATAAGAACTACATGCATCCTGATCCAAGATGAGGTGTAGCCATAATGCCTTTGCTTTGTCTCAGCCTCTATGAGAGACTTTGCTTTCCAGCACCAGAATATGTTGGAACTGGTATCACTGCCTCCAGCATAGTTTCAGTTACATTGTACAGAAGGAAAGCAGCATGCTCTGGGTACCAGCTGCAGTATAAATGTTAGCTTAAATCAGGAGCATGGCACTGAACATGCACCTTCCTTCCAGCAGCTGCTCTTTGTGCCCAGCTCATGGACCTGGGCTGTGCTACCACTTACAGCTACTGTTAAAACTCTGCCCAAACCAATTCCACCTATTGGCAAACACTGATGGGGAGATCAAGAGTCTCAACTATCCTAGAGCTTGAGCTTCCCAAACTCTTCTGCTCTTTTATGTTAGCTTCTGCATTAGGCCTGAATTAACAAAAGGTACAATTTCAGGCCACGAGTTAATCCACATCTGGATTCTCATACTGAGTAAACATATTGCAATGAGTAGATACTGTCCTGTGTGGCTTACCTTTCCACTTCTTTCCTCTCCTGTTGTGTTTTTTCCATGCTGTGTGAAACAGCTGCTTTTAATGAAATCTCTTTTGGTGAGTTTGGGGGTTTTGGCTGCAGTTTCAAAGTCAGGGGGTTCAGTTTTATTTGGCCTCAGCTGATGGGGCTCACAGCTAGGGTGTCTGATAGCTAGGACTTAAAATGAGGGGCTTGGCTCCCTCACAATATTGTATTCTTAAGTTTTTCACACATCTTCCTTCCAGAGAGAGCTGTAGCCTAGCTGCAGTACACATCAATCTATAGCTACAAGTGGTTGGTTGTTGGTTTGTTTGGGGTTTTTTCAATTCACTTCACAGTTTTCACTGCAGCAGTCTTTGCCTCTGGACAAGTCAAGGGGCAACCACAGTAGCTTCTGTCTTGGGGCAAAGGCCTTTGAAACTTACTGTTCAACCACATGTGTTCCAAGCTGATTAAAAACCATTCCCAGCTGAGATAATAAGGATGAAAGAAAAGATACTTTAATAAAATAAATACACAGGTGGAAGGGTGCAATGTTAGCAGTTAAATAACATTTTGAGTGGCTTTCCATCCTATGAAAGAACCTGGAAACTAAAAATCTCTGCCAGTTGTACAAAACAAATGCTTCCACAAGTTGCTGGTACTAACATCTTTTAAGCCATCATTATACTTTCATAGTTAGTAGTTTCCCTCCCACACAAATGGACTACCCAGATTCTAAACCTGATAAAAGAAATTACCACACAGGAAAGGGAGATCAGAGAGACAGATGTGCTCCCTAACTGGCCTCCCATCTGTGGGCACCATTCCTGCAGCTCCTCAGTGATTGCTTTCACTAAGCAGCTCTGAGCTCATGTGTTCCACATCACATTGTAAACACTTTTCTGGCAGCTACACAGAAACTGCCCAAAACATTGGTCAAACAAGGAAGGAGCAGCTGTGTTAACAGCAACTAGGCAATTTCTCCCCTTTGAAGGAGAAAATAAATGCTGGGTTGCCAGTAGCTGCAGTCAGTTCAGCGTGATGCAGTTCAGCTGTTGGGAGTCAAGCCTGTGTCGTTCACCACTCGAGGGAGGTCAGACACAGCAGGAGCCAGACAAGACCTGAAGCAGGTGCCAGACAAGACATAGCTGTTGGAAGATAATTGCAGCCAAGGGGCCATTCTTCATTTCCTGCTCACAAACCCTTGGCAGTGTTGGTGAAATTACACTGAAACTGAGCAGCAGCTGCCTCCAGGTGCTGCACACAGGAGCTGGGGCTGCTGCTCCCAGAGGACCTGGGCACCGAGCTTGTCTGTCGTGCTGTGGATGTACCTTTGCTAGTTTCCACTGGAATTGCCACACAGCTTGTTTGGTTCGGTTTTTCAGGTGGATCTCAGGGCTTGCTGTACAGTGCAGTGCATTTGTAACAGGCTTGAGGCAGCCTCATTAGTTCAGGTACACCCTGCAGAAGAAATCTCTAGCAGAACGATCCTTCCTTTTCAGAACAGTCTGTCCAATGATTTATTCTTCCCTTAGATTAAGTTGCACGGAATTTCTTTCTCTTCAGTTTTTCACTAGCACTCTCTGTGGCAGGAATCTCGTGTTTTCTTTTAATCATGGGCTGCTTGGCCATTGTGCCATCACAGTGAGCTGCGAGCAGGGGCTGTGGAGCAGTGCCAGCCGGGGCTGCAGGGAGCTCCGCGGGGGCTGAAGGGTTAACAGCCCTCTGTGGGGTGAAGCCTTCTGAGCCTGGAGGCGGCTCCCGTGATTGCCACAGATGCTGCTCCAGGCCAGGAGGCTCCAGGGCTGCTCTGCAGTCGTTTACTGCCTGGATTTCTCTGACATTTGGGGCATTAGGGAAGGATTCTTCATCTTCTGAAGTAGCAGCATCCTCCAGAGGCACTGCTTGTGAGGCACTGTTTATCCATGGTGCATCCTTCATACCACAGTCCGTGTGAACAGATGCATCTTCTGAATCACCATCATAAGGATCTGAAAACTAAAATAAACATCTCTAAACATGGTGGATGATTATTTGTCCCTAAAAAAAAAAAACCCCAAACAAGATGCAACATACAATGGAGTTTAAAATCCCTTTCAACCTAAGTCACAGACTTACTGTGGAAGCTTTTCTGTTTATCCACACACTCCCTACCTCTGTTTTAGTTTTTGGATGCTACACCAAGAACGGTGTAATACCAAAACCTACCTGTAGTCCCCTGGATTCCTTTGCTTTCTTGGGTCCTCCAGCAAGTGGGCTAGGCACAACCTATTAAAGAGAAGTTAACATAGGTTTATAAGGCACTTTCCCATAAGTTACCAAATGAAAAACAGAGTAGGTGGAAATCTTAGAGAGGAGGAAGCCAGATTATCACTTTGCTAAAAGAATAAAAAGTGTGTCTCAGTCTAACTTTTAAAAGCTTGGTAAAGTTAACCTAAAATAGAGCTGGGGTAAGTCTTAGTGCACTTAAAGCATTGCCCTAAGGAGAACAGTGAGTAATTACATGCCACCAGAAAAATAAACCAAACCAGCACTTAAATAATAGTAGTCAGATACAGTTTAGAGACCTTCCCTCCCACTCAGGTCCCTTTCTGTTCTTTCACATGGGGATGATTTGAAATCCTGAAATAGTGCTAAGAGTCTGGGCCTGTTAATTAATAAAAAATAATAATTAAAAAAAAAAAAAAAAAAAAAAAAAAAACATGTAGGGAGACTCCCTTTAGAAAGCAAACCCCAGGTACCAAGTCTCACAAAGGAAAAGAAGTTAACAGCAAGGAAAGGGGGAAAGTTCTTGAAAAGGATCCACCACAGGTGTTCAGAGTACACCCCACCAGTCAGTGCTGCTTCCAGTGGGAAGGAGGAGAACTGAGCACAGCTGAGACAAAGCAAGGCTCAGGAATTGGGAACCAAAGGCTTTATCAGAGGAGCTGAAGTCTGTACCCGTTTGTGACCTTGTATTCTTGTGCTGCTTCAAGGACAGAGACACCCCCACAGAGCCCTTCTGCTTCTCCCAAGAGCACAGAAATTATCCTGGGCCCTGCCTCAGCAGCCTTGGTGAGAGCAGCCAGCTCTGTTCAGGCTGGGACTGTGCAAGCCCCCCTTCACCCTGCCCAGCCATCACACAGCTGCACTTCCAGCCTGGTTCTCACAGGAGAGCAGGCAACTCCAGCCTTGCCCTGACCTGTCTGGAAGGTGAAGTGGTGGCAGGCAGTTTCTCCAAGTCACAGAGCACAGTGAAACACAGACCAGCAGTGAGCATCGGTTCCAGAGTTTTACCCACAAATTAAGTGTTTTGTTCTCCACTCCAGCATCAGGCCTTTTTTCATCAGCACTAAACACATTGGTTTGGCAGAACAATGTTTAAGAAGCTACCAATATCCATAACTAACTGCCACAGCAACAGAGCTGCTCTTTATATCCTCCAAAGGGGACAGTTAGAAGGCAGAGGCTCTCCACCCAGAGCTGCTGAAAGTTAACCACCAGTAACAGCTCAGGTCAGCATTTTCTTAGCAGGTGTCTGCCTAAAACACTCTCTCCTGCCTCATCCCCCTAGAATCAACTTTTATAAAGCTAGTAACAGTTGTAAGAAAGATCCTCAAGGAAAGGGGAGTATTGGGTTCGAGGTTGTTTTGGGTTTTTTCCAGGCACAAAATCAACAACCCCACAACATGCCTTGGAGGCTGAAGGAAGGGTTGGATGCACATCGGGGAATCACTTCAGCATCAGACACTGCAGTCAGTCCTTACCTCTGCCCTGCATTCAGACTCAGACTCTGTGCTTGACTCCACTGTGCACTTCTGCTGCAGAGGAGGAAAGGAAAGAAATTCCACTCAAAGTAGAAGTTACTGCAGCTTCAGGCTGAAGCCTAAGTTCTGGTACCAGCTGTGGGTGCTGGGTTTCTCCAGAGCTTCCCCATCTGAAGCCAGCTTGTCTTCCCAAATATCCCACAGTTGTGATGCTGGTTGGGTTGTGCAAGTGTGACATAAAGGGAAAACAGAAGCCTCTCTCATCACTCCTCACCCCAAAACCACAAAGGGAAGCAGTCCAGAGCACGCCTTGCACTTGCTAACAATGGTTACTCCAGCCTTGTGAGTAACTTTACAAAACATTTTTTAGTTTGCACTGTGGTTCTGTTTGTTTCTTTGCAGTTGGTAACCCTACAGCTCAGAAATGTAACTGCAGATGAATGACTGATAACACCCTCATTTTTTCTAAAGCTCTTGCTTCGAAAGAGACCTTACAAACAAAGAGCTCCCCTCGTCCCCAGAGGGTAGCACTGAAGAGGAGGAATTACCTCCATCCCTCCCATTTAAATTAATTTATCCACACCTGTTCTTCATGCAATCTTTTCCAGTCGAGGCAGCTGCACCATCAGGCCAAGGGCAAACCAACAAACACTTTCTGAATTGTCTTTTACCAGATAGGTAAAGAAAGTAGCAATTTTAAAAGTTACCATGTATTTTCGTGCCAGTCTTTCCACACAGTCTGGGCTTTTAACAGAATCCTCCTTTTCCTGAGCATCGACTGAAACAGAGAATAGGAGAGCACATTAGAGAAAACCTTCTCTGAGATAAAATGCCCAGACTTGGCTACTCCCTTTAGGCTAGAAAAGCTGATCAGTCCTTCACATAATCAAAGGCAGCTTCTGTTTAAAAATAAATTAGAAGCAGCCACTGTCTTCTACCACAACAAGACTTCATTCATGAGGAAAATATGATTTTTTTATAGAAGCTTATACCAGACCATAGAGGTTTTTTTCCTTTTCTTTTAAGCACTGCAAGTTTTCTGAATCCTTAAAGAGGTATTTGTGCTGAAGACACCCAACCAGACTAGAGAGGGATAAATGCAAAGCTGTGCCATCCGCCTGTTCCAGGTCCCCGCAGCCAAAATTCAGCCCCTGCGCACTCCCACATCCCCTTCCCCGCTCGGGGCTCTGTCCCAGGGGCTCCCTTTCCCTCCCTGCCGTACCCTCCATGTCCCGCCCGGCCTCCCGCCTCCTCCTCCGCCGCTGCCTCCTCCCGGCCGAGGCCATGGCGGCCCCGGCGCCTCCGGCTCTGCCGCTTTATGGGCCGGGCCCTGCGCCCTCACACGGGCCCGGCTCAACCTCCCGCACCTGGAGCTGCTCCTGCCGAGCACGAATTGGGCAGCAAAACTCGGGAGTGAAACCGTTCCGTGAAGGAAAATCCTTTGTGCCGCTGCAAGGCTTCAGCGCTGCCTCTGTGGGGCCTGCACTCCTTCAGTCACTGCATTTTCCGTGTGCATATACAATACACACATATATATTATATATGTATATTTAAGAGTACACATTCCCAGTTTGCAAGGCCTCATGGCCAGGGACGTGATGCTTCCCCTCTGCTCTCACCAGTTTATTTTCTGGAGCCCATTTCCTTCACAGGACCCTCAGGCTGACACAAGAGCCAGCAGTGAAGGGGAGCCCCCTCTTCACCCCCAGTTCCCTCCAGAGGCAGCCAGGGTGACCAAAGATGTTTATTCTGTGAATTTCTGGAGCAGATGATCTCCCCTGGAGCAGAAGGACAGTTGTAGCTGGACACATAAAACTTTCTGAGCATCTTCTTAATCATTTACAATCCAGCACAGCAATTTTACTGTTCTTAAATACCAGGAGCAGTATTTTTTCAGAGTTACCAGAGAGCTATGGATCAGGTCTGCTTTTCACAAAGAAGCAGATCTGACTTGACCCTTTAAAAGCCACATCTCCATTCCCTTTCTTGTTTTTATTTTTTTTTAATAAGAAATTAGGAACTATCTTTACTTTTTTTCCAAATCAAATTCCTTTTCTTGCCATTACCTCTTTCCTAGCTGGCTTTCTTGCACAGTGCAGAAGGTACTACTGTATAAAAACCTCAGCAAAACAAACATCTCACTCTAAAGCCAGCAGTGTGTTGTTGCTCTGAAAAGGCACCAGGAACAAGTCCCAGTGGGGGTGACAGTGACAGCAGCTGTACCAAGAGCAGCTCACAAGCCTTCACCCATTTCCAGCTGAGCTAGACCCTATTCTTACCACTCTTTTATTCCCCATACCTACCTTTCCATCTCCTTACCTTCTCCACCCGAACTAAAAATCTGATGATTACTCCTTCTCCACAGAATCTCCAACCATTTTCAAAACATAGCAACCAAGAACCTCACTCACCACCCCACAGCACCTCCCACTGCTGAAGGGGGAGCTGAGGAGGCTCCCTTAGTGTTAGTGCCTGCAGCTCCAGCTGAGCTCAATGAGCACGAATGACCATCCTGCCCCACCCAAACACAGGGCTGGGACTCGTTACTCCCACAAAGGCTGCCCAAAATTAGCTACAGATTCTCGTCAGCAGCAAGGTCCAGGCTCCATGGGCTGCTTGCTCTGCGAGGGGCTGCAGGTGAAATGCTGTCTGCAAGGGAGAGAGAGCACAGCCCGAGTGCCCCACAGCACCCCTGGGTCCTTCTGGGCAGGGCCAGGCAGCAGGGACAGCCCCACGGAGCATTCCAGGGGAGATCTGGGTGTCCCCCTCCCAGGCACACAGGGGATGCCATTGCTGAGCCCTGTGGCTGCAGTGGGGATGAGGAGGGGGCCCGAGGGTCCCAGGGGTGCAGCAAGTTTGCTCCAGGGTTCATTCCCATCATTTCTCAGTGCTCTGGCACTCCTCATCACTCTTGGCCCTGCACAGACCTTGTGCCAGCCCCACAAGCTCTGATTTCCCTTGAGTCCAGGTTTCTTTTGCTCTGGCTGCCCAGTGTAATGCAAGGAATTACTCAAAAACACTCAACACGTTCTCAGGGCAAGAAATACTGCAGATAACATGCAAGTTTCACCTAAATTATTCTCTTAAACTAGTTTTCAAGAGAGGTTAAGATTTGTGCCATCACTGACCAAGTGCAAAAGCTTTTAGCATTATGTAAATTTTAAATCCCAGTGTTACTAATTGGAAGACCCTTTCACCATTTTTTACACAAGATCTCGTAGAATAGATTTTAGTCACAAGTCACGCATACCTTAGAATCTCCCATAAGTTTGATACTATTGAATCCTATTTTTTGACACTGAGGTCTTGAGGCATTAACTAAAGCTTGCTGAAGTCTGCTCTTCTGATAACCTCCAAGACTGACCATCACAGAAGGAAAGCCTTTTCCTCCTGATCATTGCTTCTGTCACCCACACACCAAACTGGAAGTCAGTAATGGTGCACACATTAGAAACTGTAACTCCCTTTCTGCATCTGGCTTGATGCCATGTTCGTTATTACAGCAGCAGTACAACCATCACTGATAGGAGTGGCATTGAACACAGCGACACCTCAGCCAGGCTGAGCAAACAGCTCCTGACAGACACAGGACACTTGAGATCACAGCACACCTCAGTCCCCAGGAGGAACCCCAGCTCCTGCCCCACTGCCCAAGGAAATGATGTCCCGGCTTTGACAGTGCTGCTCTCACTGGTGTGCAGGCACCAGTCCCTTCTGCAGACTTTACTGAGGTACCCATAATTAGAAATTATTTTGAACATTTCACGTCATGATACAGAATGTGAGGTGTGAAAGACAAAAGCCCCACTTGTTACACACGTTCAGCCTTCAGCAGTTGTGTAAGCAGCACTGAAACAGTTGATTTTTATACCCATCTTATTTCTCACCTTTGATAAAGGATTCAGATTTGGAGCCGTGTAATCATCTCAGTGTGTTGAACTGACATATAGGGACACAAGCTTGAATTCCTCAGCTTGCAATGTTATCCACAAAACAGATCGGCCTTTCCCCTCTCTGAGGGCTTTGACATAAAGATCTCCTCACAAACCACATCTTGTCTGACTTAATTTTGAATTGGTTTGCATGAAACAATTGGTTTGCATGAAACAAGAGTTTAGGGACCTGTGAAATACACTTAGGACCAGAAACTCCATCTTTACACCTCACTACAGAAAGAACACCAACAACCAACACACCAGCATAATATATATGTGAATTATTTTATACTGGGAACTCCTGTGTCATGGAGCAGAACAAATGGACACAGGAAACCTGCAAGGTCAGTTGGTCAGAACCTGCCCTTAAACCCCTCCTCCTCCCAAACTGGTTAATTGAATTTAAGACACTGTACCAAATAAAACCTGCCTGAAGTCAGCAAAAGGGCACCCAAGAGGCACCAAGGCCAACTGCTGAACGGAGCTGCTTGCAAAGAATTTCTCTTTGCTACTCCAAGCCAAATGCCAAGGAATACAGAATGCAGCACAACCACCTCATTCCCTGGCAAGCTCTGTGATGGTACTGGCAACTTCTCAGGTTGAAGTTCTTGATCACCTCCCAGCAGCACCACAGAACAGGGGTGCAGCTCCATTCACCCAGACTTCAGAACAAGTGCTGAACCATCCCAATGAACCCCAACTTGGAGCAGATCACTTTCCCAGAGACCCCGCCTGCTCTGGCGTGGCACTGGAGTTGCAGTGGGATCACCAACCACACCCCATTCCTTACACACTGAGGGCAGCAGCTGCAGCTCAGGATCCACAACAGCAACTGATGTGGGCACGGGCAGGGCAGTTTTGTTTCAGTGTGAACAGACAAGTCAGAGACACAGCTCAATTCTTAACACTTTTATTCTTACAGTTCTAGGTTTGAACTGTACATGCAGAGTTGCATAAGTCACAATAGAGATTTACAGTGGATTCTATTCTATGGTAGAGTGCAATCCAGAATCCTTGAACAGTATAAAAAACAACTTTAAACATCAAGACCTTGTTAGGAGCAGAAGGATTAAAGCTTCCCCAAGAGATTCAGCTCTCCTAGATACCTAGTTACTAGGTACCATATGTTAAACACTTAAGAACTGAAGAACTGTGTAACACTAAACAAACTTGAACACCCTGATGTCTTCCCATCTCCATTACTTCTTTCCACATTTCTGGCAATTAAGAATAAGTCAAAAACCCTGCCACCTGCAACCAGCTAATACAGACAAAAATAACTACTTCTTACTTGCCTGTTTAGGGTTGTACAGTGTTAAAGAAAATATTCCCTCAATGGCATTTTTATCTCACATCAGCTGAAAAAGCAATGTAACAAAAATAAAGGTATAACATCTTCGAAAATAAATATAAAGAGGGAATGCAGACAAAGTGTCAAAGATTTTTTTTTTTGGCAGGTAACATTCATAATATACAAAATATAACTTATTCATATTAGCCAAGGAAACATTCATGAGTTCCTGTAAACTCGTTTAATCCACCTCCTCCATGCGTGATGTGTCGTCATCTCCTTCAAGAGGAGGCATCTCCTCAGTGACAGCTGGACTGGCTTCCTCTGCAGCAGTGTCATCCTCATCGATGCCTGTGCAGGAAACACACACCCATTAATGCTCACAGCACAGCCCAAACCTTTCATCTCCCACCTGAGGGTTCACCTTCCACACCACCAAGGAGGACCAAGACAATGCACCCTGAGCGCTCAGGAGCCAGGACAGACTGGATAACTCACCCAGGCCAAGTTTGATCATTCTGTAGATGCGGTTGGCATGTGTCTGAGGGTCTTCTAGGCTGAAGCCAGAGGACAGCAGCGCTGTCTCATACAGCAAGATGACAAGATCCTTCACAGACTTGTCATTCTTATCAGCCTCTGCTTTCTGCCTCAGTGTTTCAATGATGGAATGGTCAGGATTAATCTCCAGGTGTTTCTTTGCTGCCATGTATCCCATTGTGGAGTTGTCCCTTAACGCCTGGGCTTTCATGATCCTCTCCATGTTGGCAGTCCAGCCATACGTGCTTGTTACAATGCAGCATGGAGAAGTGACTAAACGATTGGACACAACAACCTGCAGGGGGAATGCAAAGCACAGGTTTGCAATTTAAGCATTTCAACAAGTACAACTGATTTACCCTATTCATTTTAGAATGACTTTAAC